GTTAGATGCCTCCCATTTTGTCCCACTTTTGTCATGTGACCTGTTCTACCAGTGTCATGTGTTAACTTTGCGAACTTCGTGAAGGGTTATCACATTGTTTTTGTATAGATCAGCGATGGAAATGGGATTCTTTGAGTATGAGATGTGTCAATAGTGTTTTGATTTTGTGGGTTGGTGTTGAATGTTGAAAAAAACGTGGAGATTTATGATGATTTTCATTTTTGTTTGATGTTTATATTGAAATGTTTTTGCTTTAGATCTGAATAGCATTCTTGAAAGAAATCATAAAAACCCAAATGCTAAAATTTTTGATTGGTGGATTATTTGGAATTTATTGGTTGTTGGGATTTTGAATACGACGTCGCGCCACTCTCCTTCTTGCTCTGAATTTTCACATCTCTTCACCACCTGCTGCTGCTCATATCTTATTTTCACAGTGCACTTCTCTCAATCCTTCATAAAAGGTCAGTAAAGATTTTTATTTGAAAACTCTAATAAGGCCCTTTACTTTCTTGTTTATACCTTGTATTGTCTTATATGCACAGTGTCTGATCCATCCCTTCAAAAACCCAAAATGATAATCTAAATTCGGAAACAGATCTTGATTAAAACTGAAATCCATAATAGATTTTTTTTTTTTTTTTTTAAAGGTAAGTTTTGTTCGTTATATTTGATCTGTGCAATGCTAAAGAAAATTAATAAAATTTAACGAGGATAGGAGCAAGTATAAAATTATTTAACGTGTATCGGCAATAGATTTTGCGCACGTTTGGTATATACTAATAGACAATTAAATACACAACGTTTTAACTAGAATTCTTCTTTAATTCAGTCAATATTATGCAACCCAATTTCTCGAGTGTGCTATTATCGTTGTCAAAATATTTACAGTTACCATACATTTTTAATTTGTTATAATGTTTTATCTACAGTTCAAGGATTTCATGCCAGTAAGGCAGTAACAAACAAGAAATTCTAGAGATGAATCGACTGGCAAAAAATTGGGAGATTTACCCTATCCATTTGTTGTTTCTTCCCTAAATGCTGAAATTCTTGATTGGTGGGTTATTTGAAATTTAAAGGCTGTTGGGGTTTTGATTCCATTTCTTTACTCAACTTTGATATTATTGAGGTTTTCTTGCCAAAGAACTTTATGAAAAATGGAAGTATCAAGTGGATTGAGTCCAAGAGTCAACCCGGTTGGATTGTATAAAGAACAAGAAGAGAATAATGCAGGACCAGATCTTCAAAACTTTGGATTGGACTCAGTTGAGTATGTTATTCGATCTGATCACCATTTTCATTCAATGAATGCACTGGAAATTCTGAGGGAAACAGTGAGAATTCTTCGGTATAATTCAACGGGTTTTATGGCAATTGCAGCATTGCTAATATGCCCTGTAACGGCAGTGCTCTTGTCGAATGTGCTGGTCAATCAATCCCTTGTGAAGAGGCTGACCATAAGGTTGTTGCTAGTTGCAAAGTCCAGTGGACTCCCTCTTAGGCCTTTTATCAAACAGTCATGCCAAAAGTTTGCGGAAATGACAATTTCTGCCATAATGTGTTTCCCTTTGTTTGTTACAGTGTCGTTATTATCAAAGGCTGCTGTGGTTTACTCGGTTGACTGTACTTACTCGAGGAAAAGATTTGATTCTTCAAAGTTCTACGTGATTGCTTCAAAGATTTGGAAGCGCATTTTTGTGACGTACTTGTGGGTGTGTATGGTGATTGCTGGTTGCCTCACATTGTTCCTTGTGCTTCTGGTTGTGGTGAGCAGCACGTTTTCAATTATGGGATTTCCATCAGATTTGATTTTGTATCCTGCAATGGTAGTAGGATTGATTTTCTCCATAATTTTGGCAAATGCTATCATTATATGCAACATTTCTATTGTCATCTCAGTTTTGGAGGATGTTTCAGGGCCACAGGCATTGCTGAGATCGAGTTCTTTAATTAAGGGGCAGACCCAAGTTGGTCTATTGATATTTCTTGGATCGACAATAGGGATGGCTTTTGTGGAAGGTCTTTTCGAGCATCGGGTAAAGACACTAAGCTATGGAGATGGTTCTTCAAGGATATGGGAAGGGCCCCTTTTAGTAGTATTGTACTCATTTGTGGTGCTTATCGACTCAATGATGAGTGCCGTTTTCTACTTCAGTTGTAAATCTTACCGTATGGAATCTGCAGATGTAGAAAGCCAACCGGTTTTAGAAGCCCTGGCTATTTCATCCGGATCAGCTGATGTTCAATAGCATCCTCTTGGATTCCATTTGTGGTCTGTAAAGCTACTTCAGCTTGTTGAAGAAAGATAGGAACGATGTCGAAAGCTCGAGTCCTGATTTTATTTTTGTGCTCCAGTACCACCAATAAGGAAATGTACGTGTAAACCTTCTCAACAATGTAACAGATAGCTTTTTATTAAAGGGGCTAGCTCCATGTAGCTTCCGTTCGTTGTTAGTCATGTTATCATAAAGTATCAGTGATTGCAAACACAGAAACAGAAGAATGAAAAAGATTCTGAAAGTTTGATAATTGGATCATTCAGAATACTGTCCCGGGTAGCATTTTGAAAGTTACCGTCACATACTTTGTATTGCTTTTTTTATCACTTGTATTCAATACGGATCACTATTTTCTTTCACTTTCTTGTTGATGACTTTGATTTTGTTTCT